ATAAACATATATATATATACATATTTGTGTATGTATGTATGTATGTATGTATGTACGTACGTACGTATGTAATGTATGTATGTATGTTTTAGCAACATTTGCGAGAGGCCCGCGAGCAGTGCGCGAGAGCGCAGCAATGGCCATTGTAAAAGGAGTCAAAGGAAACAGAATCCCTTTCCCAGCCCCCTTGGTCTCCTCGAGCAACCGCTTTTCCAGGTCTGCCTTGTTCGAGTCCCGGAGCGCCTGCGCAGCGAGACTTCGGGAAGGAGGCGCGGAGGCATATGGCTTATATGTCCCGAAACACGTGCTCCCAGGGTGCGGAGTCGAGCGTAGGGTTTCATGTTTTGGTGGGCATTCCAGCGAACCGGCAAATAAACAATCGACGCATGGACAGATCAAAAAACTTGGCAAACAATGAGCTCTGCCATAAATTGGAGCCTCACCTGGGCGCTATTTGCTGTCAGGATGCTCGCTATTTCGGGACGTTGTCCGTATGGTGGTACAACGGAAACGCTAGGACAGCTCGGGTCAGATCGAAGACTCTGTCAAAATCCAAGCATTTGGCTTCGCTCACCGCCTTTTCCGGCGACTCCAACACGGGATAAAGCTTCTGGGCTGGCGCGGCTAGAATGAAAGCCCAACAAACAAAAAGTTATAAGAAATAGGTACAAGTGCATCCAGCAACCAAAACACGAAAATAAAGAAACGCTTTAAGAGTGGTTGAAAGTTTGCGCCCGGACAAACGCGGCAAGATAGTCCAAAGCTGTGCGAGGCAGGATGGAACCCCACCTCGCTTGAATTCGCAATCCGAACTCCTGAATTCCGAAAGCGACAGCTCGGAAGCCCATATAGCGTAATGTCATAAACAAACAAACGCAAGTACATACATATATGTGTGCATATACTGATTTATATAAATACATATATATATATATATATTTATTTATTTATATGTTTCAGTTTAAATACATATACATATATATATATATAATGCCTGGTGTCGGTAACTTCGGCCACGCCCAAATCTTCTTGGAACTTGCGCTGCCGTTCCTCTTCCCGGCCCCTGCAGCAGACAAGGGCTGTAGCTCTGGGGGCTTGGGTTTTTTCTCGGGTTCAAGGGTTTAGGGCTTAGGAATTTTTTGGGTGGAGAGGTCTGGGAATCTATACAATACATGTACTCACTGGGACCATTGCGAATGGTATTGTGCATGATCAAGTTCTGGTTGGGTTCTGCATACGCAATATGAACCCGGGAAAACAATCGCGGTGAGTTTGTCGTCAATGACTCGAGGCATTGAACTCACAGACTTCGGTAGCACATAGGCTTGCGTCCTGGGTATTCTAGATCTGCATCTTGCGCAGGAATAGTTGAAGTTATGTCTTTCCTGGTTCCTGTAGACCCTCGGCATTTTATGGTCTTTCTGACATGGACAGTCTGGCTACACTGCTTCTTTGTGATACGACTAAGCCCTGAATCCAAAACCAAACTCAGCCCAAACCCAAAACCCTAAACCCTGATGGCAAGCAAGCACCCCTGCCTGAACTCCATCATCTGCTCTTCGTGCCTGGAACGAGATAAGGCTACTTCTCGGAACACTCCACTACTTCGATGTGTTTTGGTTGTAGGTGGCTTCGGGGGGAAGGATGGGCAATCTACGATGCAGGTAAGAACCACACTTCCCCAAAAGCCGGGAGAACTGCTACTTTCAGTTGCCAGCCATCTCCGAACTCACCTTCAGACGAGGATCGGGATATCCGATCTTCGGAGTCGGGTTTCGGATTTATGCAGCCCCGTTTCCCGTCCTCTTTCGCTGGGCTGCTTCCCGATCCCTCAGCTGCTGAAGCTCTTCCTGACAGGAGTGGAGTGGTTTCAGATTGCGCTTCAAAGAGGTTTCCGGCGTCAAGAAACGCCACCTTACATACGCAAACAACACCTTCCCGATGATGTCAACACTTCATTACAGCTGACTCCTGGCTCCCCAGGTTGTGCAATTCGTGCACAGGCCACATTGCAAGACCACTGCGTGTCAGTGTATGTATGTATGTATGTATGTATGCATGCATGCATTGATGCATGTGCACGTATGTATCTACGCAAAGGTGCAGGTCTGCGCGTATGTGTATGTGGTATGTGCATGCGCATGTACTGTGTGCCTACCTCTGCATATGCGTAGATGTGTGTGTGTGCGCGCGTACCAGCATGTGTATGTATATCTGTGGGTGCATTTGTGCGTATGTATGTATGTATGTATGTATGTATGCATGTGTGTATGTCTGTATGCCTGTATGTCTGTCCGTCTGTCTGCCTGCCTGTCTGTATGTACGTATGTATTTATGTATGAATGGTATATGTGCATATGTGCATGTACGGATGCATGCGCGTGTATGTAGGTATGTATGTATGCATGCATGCATGCA